GACGCCCTGCAGGTCACGTGCCGGCCCGAGAATGACCCAGTGCCTGCGGGAACACTGACCCCCCAGCTCCCCGGGGTCCCCAGCGCCCCAGTCCTTAGGCCCCGTGCCCAGACCCCCCTCACGTCTTCTTTTCCAGAAAGAGAAGAAGGGGCTGCGGAAGCTGCTGGCGGGCGCGTCCGGCAAGCGCAGGGCACGGGCCTCCCCGCCGGCCTCGCCCACCCCGGACGCGGAGCCGGGCCCGGACCGGGACGCGGAGCCGCCGAGCGCCCAGGACGCAGCGCCGCGCAGGGAGCCCGCCGCGCCCGTGGCGCCCCCGCCGCGCCTGCCCTGCTCCTCGCTGGGCCCGGGGACCGAGGCCAGGCCCGCAGCCTGCGAGCGGTGAGTGCGGGGGGTGGGGGTGGGGGGGCGCCGCCCCGCCGCCCCTCCCTCGGCGGCCTCCCCTTGTTTCCCCTGGAAAAGCGCCCCGGGTTGCCACGGATGCCGTCGGTCAGGCACTTGCGCGTCCTTCCCGCGTCCTTCCTTTGCCTTCTCGTTGGAGGTGGTCCGGCACCTGCTGCTTGTGGGGCGGCCGGGCATCCTGCCCGCGGGAGGGTTCTCCCTTTACCCTTCCCCAGCCGGGCGGTGCCTAGGCGCGCAGACCCCGGCCGAGTGCCCGTCGCCCTACTCCCGGAGCAGGGAGCCGGTCTCATGGGGTCTGGCCCTGGGCAGTGACTACTAACGCGGTGCTCTGTTTGATGCAGCCGCTGGGGCCCTGGGAGTGTGCAGGGCGGAAAATTTATTTAGCAAGACAAATGTCAGCTAGGATTATATGAATTAAAAATGGAGCATGTTGCTTGGCCAGGGAGTGTCATGAAGTACAGTAAGAATAGCAGACCGTTTTCACAGTGCAGGCACACACACACATTTGTTTTACAGTGTCATCTGCTTTTAGTGTTTCTGCAAGCTTTGTAACCTCTGTCCCAGCATTTCATAAATAAAAAACATTTCTCATTTGTAGAGGTTTTGCCTTTCATAGCGTTTCCTATATTACGATTGGAAATCTTACCATAAAGTGTTATACTTTAACATGTCGTAAAGTCACCTGAACCCTGTATTTCATGTGAACATTTATGCCCACCAAAATATGAGGCCTTCATTCATATAATTTGGAGCTCATACTTTTTTACCAAAAAAGTAAGCTGGAAAAGAATAAACTTCAAACAACCTATGTGCCTTAAGAACAAAGTACACAACAATGTATTTTAGAGTGAGACCAAATAGTTTTGTCATTCTGATCTTTATAAAACCGATTTTGAAATGAGCTATTACTCTAAAAAGCATTCCTTCCCCACAAACAAAATCGTTCCCTTTCCCCTCATCTCTTGTGCTCTTAGTGAAGTTTTGGAATTTTGTCCTGAAGTCACTTACTCCTTCACTCTGGGTGTCACCTTTTTTCCTGCAATATTACTGCTTTCCAGGGCAGCACCTTCTGCGTCCACTGACACGTTTACTTCTCTTTAGTCACAAAGGCCTCTGCCCTCCTCCTGCGTCACCGATCTGCTGCTTTGCCTTCAAGGCCTGAGTCTGTCCTCCTCCCTGTCATCTGTGGTGTGTGTGACAGCCCTGAGCGGGTAGCTCACTCTGCCCACGCTCTCCCTGGGCGCTGTTGTGGCCCTGCTGCCTCCCTCCCACAGTAGGCATTCCTTTTCAGTTGCCAGATGTCCTCAGTCTCTGTGGCTTCTGCATTCCAGCTCCTTTCTCTTAAAGGACCTCATTCTGTTTCTGACAGCAGGCTCCTGCAGCTCAGTGCATCTGAAAAGGAGAAATTGCTAATGCCGGCAGGTGATGGCACCCGCAGGGCCCTGCACGTCAGATAGGGAGCACAGAGAAGTTCATGGTTGGTCAGATGAACAAGGGCGAACCTTAATTCTCTGGCCGGCTTTTCATACAACTGTTCCCATTTTTACAAGTGGGAAAGGGGTCTTTGGAGAAGATTTCTGCCCAAGTTTCTATTTTTATAGTCCATATGTTCAATGGAAAATTTAATATAATAGCCAGCCTGCCCAACTTCTCACAGCCCTCTTGCCTTCCAACCGTGATGGTGATAGTGTTTATTTAACTTGGATTCTTAGGTCTACTTTACTGTAAAGACAATAGGAAAAATGTGTGGAAACAAGTAGTGTAGGAAAACATCCTATTATCCACTGGGAATAAAATTCTTTCGCTAATAGAAAGCCACCAAGTATATCATTTAGGGATTAACTGTTTTGATATTTGAAAAATGTCAACACAGTATAAGAAGTAGAAGTACTCAGTGCTAAAAATGAAGGAAGGAAAAATTAACTTTCACATCGGTAGGATTCTTGAAGCACTTTAGGGTCTTAGATTCCTTGGTTCACAATCTAACTCCTGCCCTGGCAAAGTGCAGAAGCCTGAGGCTCTTCTGGTAGAACTTTCACTGATAGAATGTCATAGAACTATCTTTCATTGTATAGTATTGGCACAGTATGAGAAATGATTCACCTACAGATTGCAATGAGAACCAGCATGAGATTGCTCTCAAACTGCAACCCTGTCCCATAAATAAGAGCATGTGACTAGGGCAGCCAGGCGTCAGTGGAAAGAAACATTCGCGTGATGTAAAGACTTAGCAGTCTCATGGTAAGGATGAAACCCGAGGTGCTGGCGGGCCTCAGTGTCAGCCGAGACCACTCTCTGGGGAGCAGAAATACCCTGTGTGTCTGCTGGAGAGACTGAAGAGAGCACACAAGGAATAACACTGTGTCCCGGAGGCAGAAAACACAATTGATGATGGCAGAGATGATAGAGTAAGTATTTCAGGCTTTATTTTGGAGGGATCGTGGGAAAATAATCAGGAAATTGCAAAGAGAAAATAGAAATAAAATATTTCAGAAGGGAAGGCAACAAAAGAAAATATGCATGACAGGTTTCTTTTCTAATACTTAAAAAGAAAAAAAAAAGGGGCTTAAGGAGACACAGCAAGTCACTGAATAATTTTAAGTCGAGGAGTTAAATCGATAACCACACACACCTATAAGCCCATTTCCTCAACTGGAAAAGAACCTATCATCTTTGATCAGGGATTAAGCTGGAACGCTTGGAAACATAACAAATTGGATGGAGATAGATTCACAGGCGGTCGGGCTTTTCCAGGGCAATTAATTTGAGTCGGTGACAGTGACCCCCCTGGGGGAAGCCTGGGCACAGGGCACTGGGATGCGAAGCAGCCACAAAGCGAGCTCGTATGGTGTTCCAGCAAAACACCCAATTGGATGTTAGATTGCTATAGCAGTTGGCAGAAAGCAGTAGATGGTCACCCACCCAGACCCAGGTGATGGGCAGGGTACCCCCAGAGCCACAGGGGGTCTGATTTGGGCTGTTCCAGGAGAGACTAGAGACAGACAGGAATGAATTGCCACAGACAAGAGAGAGACTGATAAAGGAGTAGAGAATGCACGCTAACAAGCTCCAGGTGCGCGTCTGGCTGAAGCCAGCACAAGGTCTTCCTCTGCCAAGCCTGTTTCCTTAATTCTCCCTGGTGACTGTCTCCAAAAACTGAGTTGGTCACACAGCCACCAAGAGGCAGAGCTGTGGCCACACTATGTCTGCCATGTGGGCCCCCAGTGCCTCTGCAGAGGGGGCAGGAGGTGCTTTGGCTACGAGGCTGCCCCTCAGCTTTGAAGCTTTTCCTTTTTCTAATCTTTACATCATCTTTATTCACTCAGTCATCTTATTTTTTAAATTGTGGTACAATACAGATGAAATTACCACTTTTTCACATATGCAGATCGGTGGCATTAAGTACCTTGCCATTGGTGTATGACCACCATCCCCCCCATCGTCCCAAACCAAGACTCTGCACCCATTAAACACTGACACCCACCCACCAGCACCCCACCTCGACAGGCCCCACGCTCCTTGCGGCCTGTGTGGCTATTCTGGGCCCCTCATACCTGGGACTGTGCAATACCTGCCCTTTTGTGTGTGAGACGTATTTCCCTTAGCATACTATTTTCAAGGTTCATCCAAGTTTAGCTTTTGTCAGAATTCCATCCCTTTTTAAGGAGCTTCATGCATTAAAAAAAAATCGTTTTACTGTACAGTTAGCCGTCTGTCCCTCCTCATGCTTGGAAAGAACTGTCGTGTGCCCAGTGCTAAACGGTGTGAGGCATGCAGGTGAATTTACCGCCCTCCTGCCCCTCAAGCACCTGTGGTCGGGGAGACTAAACGGGGTAGGGACACAAGCTGCCGGTCAGTCCTGTGTGGGGTGGCACAGGGACAGGGGGATGGGCAGAGGACGTACCGTGTGGGGGGTGAAAGGGTTGTCCACCAGGGTGCTGGTGGTGCTGATGAGGAGAACAGACGGAATGCAGGCCCGCGTTGGTCACGGGACAGTGGGGCCTTTGGTTCCCCAAAGTCCCGTTCACCTAAAGCCGAGCATGATCCGAGGGAGGCAGCGGGGCACAGGCAGGCGGCAAGGCCTCAGCTGCGCCTCGCGTCCATCCCTTGGCCTGGGATGTTCTGCCTGCCCGGCCTCTCCACGCCTGAGAGAGGGACCAGGGGGCCCAGCATTCGGCTTTAAGGGTGTTAGAATCTGTGCGCAGGCCACGTCAGGAGAGTCCAGGCAGGATGAGGGCTGGAAGGTCCCCAGGACAGTCTGTTGCCGCCCCACCCGGTTGTCTTCTCGCCGTCAGGGCCGCGTCACCGTTCCTCTTGATGCTCACGGTTTCTCCCTTCTCCCCCCAGAGGCCTATAACTGAGCAACAAGAATGTGCTCCCCCTGGGAACTTGGCAGGAGGCTGGTGGTGTTCTTAGCCCAGCAGCAGTTCTGGTTCAAGAAAATTTTGACAAAATTGGTTTAGTGCATTTCATAAAATGCAAATATTAATCTAATTCACTTCAGGTTTTTCAAGAACTATTTTGGTTCCATGTCACCTTTAAGGGAGCTCACAGAGACCAGTGGGGAATACTTAACATGACGGATCTACTCTGAATAGTATTTGAGTCAGTTGGACACTTTTTTCAAGAATTAATAAAGCTTTGTTCAAATTTTAACTTGACCCAAATGGCAACTTTTTACGTTGCACATGGATTTGTAGCATATTTGCATCAGACTTGAGAAGTCTCACCTGGGTCTCTTCTTTTAGAGAAGTTCATGGTGAAATCATCTGTCCTGCTTTGACAGGTGTCAGAAAGCCCAAACCATGCCATTCTGAAGGCCATCAGGTCTCACTGTCGGGTGGTCTTTAGGCTGTGGCCTGAGTCTGAGCCCTGGGCAGAGGTGCCAGCTACTCTCTGGCTCTTCCTTCACCTCCTTGAAGGGCCTAATTTTTTTAGGCCATTTTACACCTCCTTCACCAGGCTGTTGCCTAAGGCATACGATCATGACGGGAGGGCATTCAGGTCATGGACTGTGAGACAGACCTGAGAGCATCCCGCACTTACCATCTCACTGCAGTGCACGGTGTACGTAACTACTCACCACAGTCCCGTGCTCCGGAGGAGAGCCGAGCCGATGGGCCAGCGTTCCTCTGCTCCAGGTGACCTCTAAGGCCGTGTCAGCCCCGGGCCTGGCTGCCCCACAGCGCCGGGCCTCCTCTCTCTTTCCATGCTTGATGGAGCCCTGAGCCTGTTGTCTGTAAATGTTCATATTTGGATTCACTGAGCCTTTCTCGGAAGTCCTAAGCCAGCCTGGTGGGGGCTTCTGGTTCAGGCCTTGAAGGGTCACTTGGTCCGTGCGCCCAAAAGCTCCGGCATCATCTGGTCAGCCGCTTGGCTTGGCAGAGACGCCTTTCTTACAGACTAATAGTCTGGGACTCTCTGTGCTCCTTAAGGGGATTCTGGTTTTCATGGGATGGATGTTGATGAAGCCGGCCATCTTCTGAAAGGCTTAGGCTCTGATGGGTTTCTTGAGTCTGGGGGCAGCTGTGTAGGTTGTTACATCATTTTAAAGCCAAAGCACCCTTTACTTAGAGTCAAGAGTGGGTCCTGTGAGGCGGTAAAGTACATTCTGACTTTGAAAACTGAATGAAGGTAGAACTTGAAGTCACCTTTATGGCTAAATGTGACACAGCACACACAGACAGATGTATATTCACATTTTCTGGTTGTCCATTGCTATGTAACAGATCCCCACCTCACCCCCAAGTTTAGCGGCTTAAAACAATACATGTCACGGCTTCTGTGGTTGGGGCTGTGTGAACCGCGCATCTAGGTGCTGTGGCTGAGGGTGGTCCTCGAGTCTGCAGCCCAGATAGCCTGAGCCATGGCCAGCAGGAGCGGGTGGACCCCCAGCGTGTCCCTCACATCGCCATCAGCCTCTTGGCTTTGGCTTTGGGAAGTCCCACGCCCTGCGTTCCCTCCGTAGGGATGCTGAGTTTTCCTAGGGAGTGTGATCTGGAAGTGTGTAGAAGCCACTTGCCTTCACGTCACACACTGTTGTGTTCCCAGTATTTATGGGTCACACAGTCACCCCAAGCATTGTGGGGCAAGACCACATGAGAGTATGGCTGCCAGGAGGCAGGGGTCACCAGGGCCACCGTGGAGGCTGGCTGCCATTCGCCCCCTTTTTCCTTGTTGCTGGGGAAGGAGAGAGAGCAGTAATGCCAGAAAGATGGAGGAGGTCAAAGGACGTGGAGCATAAAGCGAGTCGCCGGCCCCTGGCTTCCACGGCAGCAGGTGAAGCCTGTGGAGCAGGGGCACAGACACCGTGAAGCCAGCTGGGCCTCTGGGGGTGCTGACTGAGAGCACCTTTCCCATGGTAGCCAAGTCGGGAGGCAGTGAAGGGACCGATACGGCTGTCAGACTAAGGGGGCTCGGAAGGCCGGCTCGCTCCGGGTGGGGCTGCCCTGCCACTAGTCCCCCTCCCCACCTAGACCTTGGGACAGCCCGGGGGCTTCTTAGGGTTCTGGCCTCCTCCACGTCCAGCCGAAGGCAGGGCTGAGCGTACCCAGCCTGGAGGCGGGCAGTCATGGGGGCCAGCGCCCACCCACTTGGCTACCTTTCCCAGCCTCAGCCATCAGGTCAGTTCACTCTGCCCCTTGGCCAGGAGGATGTTCAGAGACGCTTGACCCCCTGGGAAGGTGAATCAGACTTCCCTGTGTGTGGCCAAGACACAGACGCTTGCAGGGACAGGAATCGCGCTGCCTGCCGAGCCCCCCCTCAGACACACCTGTCTGGGTCAGCAGTAGCAGACTGGCGCACTCGTCCCAAGCCCGTGGACACCAAGTGTGTGCCAAGGAGAGAGCAGTGGTGTCTTGGGTCGTTTACACATGTTAGAAAGAGGCTCCGCTGTTTGCGCCTCTGCCTCTGTTTGCGGCCGTGCAGACTGACAGGAAGCCGCTGTGACGGACGTCTCTCTCCTTCCCAGGCACCGGGTGGTCGTTTCCTATCCTCCTCAGAGTGAGGCAGAACTTGAACTCAAAGAAGGCGATATTGTGTTTGTGCATAAGAAACGGGAAGACGGCTGGTTCAAAGGCACCCTGCAGCGTAACGGGAAGACGGGCCTGTTCCCGGGAAGCTTCGTGGAGAACATCTGAGGGACCGGCACTGGGAGGCGCGTGGTCCCACGGCACAGCGCGCAGAGCAGCCCCTCGGAAACGCACGTGTGCAGACGTCCAGGTGACCGGGACGCGCACAGGACTGGTGTGGCCCCGGCGCCTCGCAGCAGTGAGGCCAGCGGCCAGCGTGAAGGAGGCGTGTGTGTGAGTTCGCCTCTGGGTTCTGAGGTGTAAGCTGTGCCTCGACCTGTCGGATTTCCTATACAGAGAAACCTTTTTTAAAAACGATATATAGCAAAAATGGACAATTGTTTACAAGGCTTAACTAATTTATTTGATTTTTTAAACTTGAATTTTTCTTGTAATAGATAAATTCTTTGGATTGTGATTTTAAGAAATTATTAATTTATGAGATGATAGCTAAGGAGAAGCTGGATTATCTCCTGCTGAGAGAAAGAGGTTCTTTTTGATGTAGAATGACACCACCCCCGAGCCCCAGCCTCTTCAGGACAGAAAGGCCAGTCCCCTGGGGGCTTTCCTCTTGGGAGAGCACAGCACGTCGGTCAGTGAATGTCAGTGTCGGTCAGGGCCCAGGGCAACGAGACGGTACTCGGGGAGAGAAGTGGGCAATCCCTGCCTCTCCGGGTGGGTCGGGCATCACCCTTAAGGCCTAGTCCTCAGTTTGACTTTGTGGGTTTTTAATTTCCCTAGAAAGAAGTCAATGGAGTGATAAGAATAAAGCACAACCCTTGAACAAGAGTGTATTCAGGAATATATTTAGTTATATAAGAGAAGCAGCTCAGGTCATTGGTTGGAAATTGAGAAAATTGAGAATGGCTGTGAAATGTAATTACCCATTTTACCCCCAAGCGATCTGCGTCCGGATGCAGGACACAGGGAAGCATTTGTGAGATAAGTGATACACTCGTGCTAAAGTCAAAGGCGATAAGAACACTGAGAAGTTGACGTTCCCCCGTTTGTGACCCCCCCTCCCGGCCGCGCATGTCACGTGGCGGTGCAGCCTCTGTGTGGTGTGAGCCTTTCATGCGGGTTCCCGTTGAGGTCAGTGTGTGCCCAGAAAGCGCCAGCGCAGGTATAAAATAAGCCGCTTTCTTTTCTGCACCCGAGGCCACTGCCGACCACGGCCTCTGAGGGTCCCCTCCCTCCCTGCTGAGCTTGCGTGTTATGTCACTTCTTGGACGTCCTTGGCCTCTGCTCCCCGCTTCAGTCACTCCGGGACCACGCCGTTTTGGGTCTGGGTTCTCAAAACAAAAGGAGGGAGAACAGCCAGTAGTGGATGAAATTGTTGCTACAGTTTACCCGTGAAAAGCGAAAACAAAAACCTTTTTATTTTTTACTTTTAAGAATTATGACTGGGAGATATCGCAAGAGATGTCATGGTCTTAAAAACGTATATTATATGGTTGAAATGAAATCATTCCTAAATTAACCATTTTTTTATATAAGACACTGTACATTATGTTCCTGTATGTTGAATTTTAAAAAAAAAATACTTTACTTGGATATTCATGTAATATATAAAGGTTTGGTGAGCTGAACTTAGGAAAAAAAGCTGGCATCAGCTCTCACCCGTGTAAGTGGGCACCAGTGTGTTGTAATCTTTATTTTGGGAAATCAGTGTATTTTATAAAAAATTTAAAAAGTAAAAAAGACTACTACAGGTTAAGATAATTTTTTTACCTGTCTTTTCTCCACATTTTAAGCTATGTGATGAAGTACCTCTGTTAATAGTTTCCTGGTATGAAGTTCATTAAAATTTCATCTGTTGATAGATCACTTAGATAATATAATGTATGGGTTTTCTATTGGGGTTTTGGAGAGAGTAGATTGAGATTTTGTAACAAGGGCTTGTTACACAGAGATATGGTGATAAAATTGCAATTTATCATTCCTTTTCATGTTAATAGTTTGAAGCCTGGAGAAAATGTTCAAGATTAAAATTTGATGTTCGGCCTTTATGTGTCCCTGTGTCAATCCTTAAATTTCTTTTCTTTTTTTTTTTTTAAACCTGGGACACATTTGACTTCATTTCTACTTCATAAAAATTCTTTGCATATACCTCAGGTGGAAGATACCTATAGTTTGGTGGCTGTGATTCATTTTATCTCTGCAACTAACAAACCTTATTTGGTTATTTAGTTACCCGAAAAGTTTATAGTCTTCTTACAAGAGTCACCTGGGCCTGCTCCCCACATTCCTGCTTGCCTTGCCCATCCACAGTGACTGACATGGTCTAGTCACAGCTACAAGTTTTCTCCTGGCCATGGGGGACCCCTGACCAGTGGTGTGGTAGCTCATGGGTCTCAGCAAGGCTTGGGAATGTAATCTTTAGACTCATTATGATTTTACTCTTTCACAGAATGCCAGTAAGTCCTAAGTTTAAAAAGGTCCTGTGTGTCATGTTAAAAAATAGTTTCCTAATTTAACTTTCAGTTACTATCAAATTACTTGTCAGAATAAAAGCCAGGAATTTGCAGCCATTGGGCACGTCAAGTGTCACCGTTTCCCCCACGACTGCCCGTCTGCCTCGCTGAGCGAAGACAAGGAGCAGACGTGTCACTGTTTGGAAAGGGCAGTTTTAATAGTGGCATTGTTTTCTCTCTAGTTTCAGATATTTCCTCTCACTCTCTTGGAGGGCACGCATGCAGTGCCTTTCCCAGGTGTGACTGGATTTACAGGGGACACATCAAAGTGACCGCTGTGTTTGCAGCTGCTGTCTGTTCCCTCTTCCCGATGAGAATAGGGTGCTTTTCATAATAACCGCCGCAAGTTCAGATGGGTATTTAACTCCACAGCGCTAAACGACATTAGAATTCAAGTTTGAAAAATGCTTTTAATAGATGTTAGACAAATTGTACAACTTGTTGCATGCATCCACGTGAAATTCTTCAAAATTGCTTTGAACCAGTCCAACTACATCCTTACCACGGTCCCATGCTGTTCACATCACTCCTTTCTGAGAAGAACGTGCCCGCCCACTGCAGTCACAGGTGAGGGTTGAGCAGGCTCAGCAGGGCCCCGCCCCTGCCTGGCTCCTGTGCAGTCCCTGCTGTGACAGGGTCTGCGGGAGCTTCGCGCTGTTCCTGGGAGTGATTTCACCAGAGACAGGAAGGAGGTGCTAGAGTAGTAACCAGGGGCAGTTTTAACCCATTAACTGCTACTAACCAGTTGTAACCAGGGGCTGTAACCTCCCTCTGGTCTATAAATGGATGTTTCTTTCGTGTTTCCTGGTAAACTTTGTGATCTGGGTATTTAGATTTCCATTTCGAAAACACCATGTTGATCTCACTGCAAATGCATTTTGCACCACAGTGATGCACGTCAAGGAACCTGGAGGTGCTGTGCAGGGCTGTTATGATGGGGTGAGGTTACTTTAAGTGGTACGAAGGCCCAAGACAACAGAGTCATCCCTGCCAGGAGTCACTGTGCCGGCTGCCACTACCATCACTTGCAACGCAGGTAAGAAATTTGGTTTCAGGAGGCTTTGACTTTGAGTTGAGTCTTTCAAGGCCTGGACCCTTGTAGAAGTACTCAAAGAAACCATGAGAGGCTTCCGAGTAAAAAAGGCCTTCTTAAATATGACTCAAAAACCAGAATCTGCAGGAAAAAATACATGGCAAAACACCATCGTCAGAGTCGAAAGAAAGTGATAGAAAAAAATGAGTGACTCCTGTAGCAAAGAGAATTTCCTTTACATATAAAGGGTTCCTCCAGATCAATAAGAATAAACAAAAACCCGAAAGTAAAATTGGCACAGTATTTGTGACAGAAACTGCCACTACCTTCCGGTGTCTGTTTTGTATCTGAGGACACTGAGGCGCAGGCAGTGTTCTCAGATACAAAGCCGCATTTCCCAGCCTCTCTCAGATGAAGCCACGTTACCAAGTTGCTGCTGAGACAGAAGCTAAGGCATTACAGGGGGCTTGTGGTCAGGCTGCCTGGAAGGGAGAGGGCGCACAGCCTTCTGTCATTCTGCTTTTCCTTCTAGGCTGCAAGTCTGTCATGATGGGAGGTTCTGCAACTGTCCTGAGTCATAAGGGGACCTTGGAGATGGAGTCCCATTTTCACATGGTGGAAGAGAAAGAAAGAGGAGCTTGGAAACCTGGCACACTTGCAGCCTTCATGCCGGCTTTCACGACTCATCTCCAGATAAGATTCATGTGGTAACGAATCCCTTGAGTTTCAGGCAATGAAATGTAACCTTACCCACAGCCAATCTGACGGATAACAATATAAACTGACAGTGGATCAAAAAAAAATTCAAATATATTAAAAGATGTTCTATACCATTCACAGTGTAAATACACATTAACAACAGTGAAATCATTCTTTTTAATTTTTAAAGTCGGAAACTAAAAAAAATTGGAAATCACTGTGTTGGCAAAATTAGGAACACTTTAACATTTTGCTGATGGGAATGGTAAAACGTCCAGGGTGAGCCATCTAGAAAATACCAGATTGCGTTTACCCATTCTACTTTTAAGTTTTTGACTTCCTGATTTCCACTTATTCATCAAGTGTAAAATGACGGTCCCAATTCATTGCAGTGTTGTTTATAATAGCAAAATATCGCAAACAGCCTACACACCCACAACAGGGAACTGGTCAAATGCATTCAGTGAGTCAGAGCAGCAGAATTCTACACAACCGTACAAAGAATGGTCCTTTGTGCGTGCGCATGGAAACATCTCTGGGGTCCACAGTTAAAAAGGTAGACTGTGCTACCATTTAGTAAAAAGGAAGGAGAGGATGCCTCTGGTGCCCCTGCTAGCTTGTCTAGGGGTGCAGCGTCTCTAGGAGATGTAAAACTGGTCGCCATCTGTGGAAGGTGGGGCCTTGTGCGAACTTGCAGTGAGTCTCTCATCAGAAAGGGCATAGAAATCGAAAGCCCCTGGCTGCCTGGACGCTGTGGATTTGGGAGGGAGGAGACAGACATTAAAACGTTTTCAGGAAGATGAGATCTTTGAAATCAAGTTAGAATCAGGCAAGAGAATGAGTAACTGCTGAGTTCAAGAGCAGACAGAAAAATTACATCATTTAGGAAGAGCAAACCAGCCCCACATTTCCACAACTTGGGTGTTCAAGGCACGTCCTCTCGAAGAACCCAGGGTGGCCCCGAGGCTGGTGTTCCACAAAGCATCGGTTTCTCCACCGTGACTTTGAGAAACAGAACCAACCAACTTGTTTTGTGGTAAAACCGGTCCCATGAGAAACATCTTATAAATAGACGTTAGACACATGTCCACATCCAGTTAGGTTCCTGGAGCCTCTGCGTGTATTTGCAAGACGCAGAAGCCCTTAGACGCCTGCCGTGGCACAAAACTAAGGAAAACAACCAACCAAAGGTGAATCTTACAGCGCAGGCTCCCAGGCTTCGATCTCATCTGGGCTGGGGACTCGCTCCTGCGCTCCTGGTGCGCAGACGGGCATCAGCGTCTGGGCTGTCATACTCCCCAGGTCTCCATGGACACAGGCCGTCATGCCGGTGGCTGAAAGCGAGAGCGAGGCTCGTCCACCTGGAAATGGGACCTCAGACCTCGCTCACTCACCTTAACGCACAATCAGGGCGCCGTCAGTTACTCTCAAAAGCGGGGCTCTGAGGACCCTGTGGAGGGAGGTCAGTGCGCTGCACCGGGGGCCCGTTGCACCACAAGCCTAGCGGGCAGCTGAAGGCGTCTGGAGGCGGTGGAGTACTAAGTGGAACTGCCGTGTCAATGCGTTCTGAGCGTGTGTGAGTGTCCGGCAGCCTCCACCCCTTCCTTCTCCAGCAGCACCGTCCCGTGGGGCGCGTGCTCTGGAAAGTGATGGAAAGTTCAACAGCTTTTTAATCTGGGCTGTGCAGCACAGAAGCCACTAGCCACCCGTGTTGCTACTGTAGCTGAAAAACAATCTCAAATTTGACTTAATTTTAATTAACAATGTAAATATAAATAGCCATAATACGGTAATGGTTACTGTGTTAGCCAGTTCAGTTTTAGAGAATAAAAATCTTTTTAAGGGATTGCTGGATAAAGGGACCGAAGTGTTTCGATGCCTAACTGTGCCTAGAGGCTCATTTGGAGGCACCATTTGTATGTTAAGGATCAGAGACCTTGACGTGTGTTAGAAGCCCCTCTGGAGATACGTAACCCCATCTAAGTCCGAGCAGTACAGATCATTTCCCACCCTGGGGTAGTTTCTTCCTCCCCCTGACCTCCAAAACCACATGAAAACGTGAGATTTGTGAAAATGAACACAGGGACGCCTCCCCGGCACGGTCAATGCTGTTTCAGCAGCTTCCCTGTCCAGCAGGAGGGACAGTGTCTGCCTCCCCTGCAGCAGCCCAGCCAGGTAGGGACCGTCACACCTCGGCCAGTGCACAGCCAGCACTCATGGGACACATTTCCCCCGTGGGACCCATTTCCCCCGTGGGAGTCTTTGCTCAGCGCCGCGCCCACCTGCTCCTTCCCGCTGTGTGCGCCGCCTCTGCTCTTTTCTCCAGACTCGCCCGGGTCTGCCCTGGAGTGCCTGTCCGGATGGCCATGCTCTGCTGGTCCCCAATGAGCCTGTTTTTGCTGGTAAGGTAACTGACAGTTTTGTTGTTAAGGTTAACGATGCAGGAGAACTCGGGGATTCCGAAGCATCGCAGAGCAGCTGAGTGGCAGCACCTCCTGTCCCACAGTCTAAGCCTGTCTTACCTTGACGTTCCCCACGACCCTCAGCCTGTGACAGAGTGAACTTGTGACTCCCACAGCTGCAAGGACAGCAATCAGATGGTCAGCCGGCTGTGGCCTTCATGAACATTGTTCTCAGCAGATTGGTTTGGGGTTTGTAGAGAAAAAACGGGTAGCCTGGCCCTCTAACTGGACATGAGATGCCGGCTGTGGTTCAGGCATGTGTCTCCCGCCCACCAGGAGCAAGGTCGGCCCCCGAGATGGCCAGTGGAAGGCGGGATCACCTGTTCCCAAGCACTCACGGGTGCAACGAGACGAAGGAAGAAGTGCTTTGGGTGAAACAATTCTCCTATAAATTGTATCACAAAAGCACATTCAAACTCCCCAACGGCAGACAGAGCACGAAGGCGGATGCCTGGCAGCAAGCTCACTCTGCGGCACAGGCTGGCACCCACCCCAGCTGCCCTAATTTGGGACCCTTCTTTTCTCCTTCCTTTCTAAGGCTCAGGAAGAAGCTCGCTTAGGAACCGGCCCTGACTGAGAATCCTGGTTCCGGGCAGGGAGGATTCTGTAGGTAAGACTCCTTCTTGTGTTGGAAAGGTTTCCAGACGATGGCACCCCTGGGTCTTGTGGGCCCTTGAGTAAAATAAGCCCTGGCTTCATACCATCCTCTCCCCAGTGAGACCGCCTTGGCTGCTGAAGCCCTGCATGTCCTATAATAGAGACGGACACAGTGCTTAATGGCAGCTCACATCCTGCCGGCCACGTGGCACTCAGGCTGCAAGTCCACACCAAGGGCCCCGCAGTCTAAGGCAGGGAGCCGGGGTGCCCCTCGTTCCTGCTGCAAGGGCAGGGCCCGCCGGGATGGGGAGTCTGCATCCATAGCCAGCACGGCCTGCGCCACGTGGGTAGCAATTGTGGCATCGCTGTGATGTGGTGATGGTGCCGAAATCCAAGCTGGGCTTGCGTTTCTACCCTGGAGCTGAAATGCTCTTCCCTGTGATTATTTGCCCACTGATGCTGATGTGTGGGGCTGGCATACCATCAGTCAGCCCTGCGGTACCACGGACGCAAGGGAAGCTTCCAAGAAGAGGGCATGGGGAAGAAATGGCTCACCCAGGCAGAGCTGCGGTTTTCTCTCCCGCCACCATAATTCAGCCCGTGGCCCAGGCATGAAGAAATTGACCCAAAAGTTTAAAACTGGAATCTCAGTCTTTGATCCTGAACTATTCTTTGTGCCAGATAATGCATTTCTTTCTTGTAAGACATCCTGCGTTTTAGATAATTTCCCTCCTACCCACTGTCTCTTTCCCTGTGTCTCCATCTCTCTCTTCTGCGTAGGTTTTTGGAATGGTGCTGGGTGTCCAGTGGATATTCCATGAACAAGTGTCCTCGTCTGGAAGTGGTATATCCTTGTCCACTCTCCTTAGACTCCTGTCTGAGAAGCCACTGAGGTTTTTGATTTTTGCCTTTTCTGTCACGTTTGTTATAGTTGTATTTCGACCTTATCAGGGTCTGGATATAATAAAAGCATGGCTGAGTCAGAGGGAGAAAAAGGCTTAAGTGATTCCATTTAGACCCAGATTCTCAAAGACCTGAAACTATTTGCCAGAAACTAATACACACAAGCCCTACAATTTTTCAAAACCAGCAAGATATTTATTGAGGGGGTTCCCACACCCTAGTGTGTTGAGCTGGCACAATGGTATAGGTACCTTGTGACAGAACAAAGGCTGCTTTATACTGCAGATTGTTTGGAGATAGCTTACAAGAACACATACAATAAAAATGGCAAAAATAAAAATTGGTAAAACATGGGATCAAGGAAAAACAAATAGGAAATCAAGGGGAGGGGATAATCAGAAGAAATGAAAGACACCAACCCTGCTTTGGAGGAGGGGACACTGGGGAGCCCGGCTGGGGGGACGCTGCATCCTCATAGTGACTCGGGAGCTGAGATCACAGACCAGTACGAGCCCAGAGGCAGTGGTGGCCACGGGAGGCAGAGGTGAGTTTTAGATGGAAAGGTGATAGGGCCTAGTGGTGAGGCGCAGAGAGATCGTGAGCAGGTACCAGAGAGCACGGCCACGCCAGGGACCCGGCCTTGGGCACAGCGGCTTGGCAGCAGCCAGCCAGGCCTATTTGCACGGAGATGAGGGTCTGTGGCTAATGCAGAAGATGTGTGTGCTGCAGTCAGCTCAGGGCCGATGCATCAGGTCAGGAAAGCTGCACCGAAGTACTGGCTCTGGTGCCACTAAAGGGTTCCTGGTACAGAAGTGACAGGGATAGAAGGTGTGGGTGGCGGTCGTGTGGAACACTGTACAGAGCCGAGCCAGGGGACTCCGCCGTGGAGGGTGGCAGAGGTCGTGAAGAGGAAAGTAAAGCCAGATGAGACATTTTTGAAAAAAGAGGTGATCAGAATTGATGGCTGAATGAACATAGGAAATGGAGGAGATACAGCAGAAATACCCCAAGATTTCTATCACCATGACTGGTAATGGAGGAGCCTTTGAAAGGGATGCGGGGGCTTGATGGGGTATGTGCAGTAAATGGTGTGTTTCATTTTGGAAGTGCTGAGTTTGAAATGATAGCAGGAAATTTAGGTTCAACTGGGGTGACAGACAAGTGTCCATGGGGTGATGTGAACTTCCAGGGAAAGGGGGTTGCGAGGCAGACGCACCCAGGGCCAGCAGCTGCAGGTTGGAAAGGCCCACAGGGAGGAGGCTGCTGAAGAGGGGCATGCAGGGCCGGGAATCGGGGCAGGGAGAGCGGGTGAGGCTGAGGCACAGCCACAGAATCCCGGGGCAGCCCCACAGGCAGGTGGAGCTGAGAAGGTGTTGGTGTTTGCCGTCTCCTCCCACATCCCAAGAGTCCCATCGAATCCCGGGTGGGGTGCTCCATGGGACATCCTGTGGACTCTGCTCACAATGCTTTGGAAGCAGACCAGCAGATTAGGTTCTTCGCTGTCATCCTGCCCCTTTTCCCCACTCTGTTAAAAATAAAAAATAAAAAATAAAAAAAGCCATTCCTCTTCGGGGAAAGAAAGCAGAGGTCTTGTGGACCCAATCAGCATTGAAACAATATTTGTGTTCCTCTAAAATGTAATTACATGTGTAAATGCTGCTGGCAGATCATATAGGGGCCGACATAAAATCATAAAAATATTGAACACAGGACTCTATATGATATGTCAGTATG